TATATATATGTATATATATATATATATATATATATATATTTGTCTTTTAGTTGTAATAAAATATAATTTACAAAAAGTCGCATTTAATCAGTCGAACGATCCATGCTTAGAAGAGTAACGATACCGGTGGTGGTTGATAATAAACAGGCAGGGCTTGCACAAGTGTTATTCGCGTGTGCATCGTTCGGGTTGAAGAGTATACTCGCTTACGTAGATAGAAGAGAGAAAGAAAAAGAGAGAAGAACGGTGAAGCATGTGTGTGGCAACGCGTTCGTTCACACGAACACTATAGAATCGTACTAACACGCAAGCGCAAAGGCGCGTCCGCGTGGAAAACTCGAGGCAGGAGGCGAGAGTGTTCACCTTAAGGCCTTCAGTAGAACGTTGTCACGCGCGCTGCACGTATCTCTACGTATCAGCCTTCTCTTGTATTTTCTTCGAACGCCTTATCAATTTTCTTTTCGATCCTCGATTTTATCGAGTATCGATTATTCTAATTCCTCCTGGATATTAATCCCTCGAACAATTGCCGTGGCTCTGCCGCGCTTTTGTTTCGTCGTTTATTGCACGTGCTTGGATACAAAATGGCAGAAGGAAAAACAAAAGCGTAGCTGGATTTATCATTCATCGCTGTGTTATCTCATGGTTGTTTTGTCCTCGATAGTGTTCGATAGTGTTTCACGGCGATGTTGATCAGCAGCAACAGCAACAACAGCAACGGAAATAATCTCAGAGGATCGCTTTCCATTTCGTACGATTCTAGAATGCTGACGAACTTTGGCAGCAACGACAGCATACTCGGTTATCTTACTGTCAAAGGTAACGATACTTCGTTGACTCGATAATTCGCCGTATCCTTCAAATTCCATTAGTCGATGACGAATGATAGTACGATCGTATACACGAATCCCGTGTTTGAATGTGTTATCGGTCGTAACCCATAATATAAAAAAAGGTATCCGAAGATCGGGAGTATTTCGTTTGGACGGATGAACCCGTTGGGTCATCGACACGATTCGAAACATGGGAGGACCTTTCTTTTGGGTATCGCGAAATCAATTAACGCCTTATCGTCTTTCTTTATTCTATATCAACGTAACAACCACTAACGCGTTTAATGTTTTTCGTATCAAGCAACGAAAGGTATTCTTTTTTTTTTTTTCTTTATAGTGGAAAAAATCAATAATCGTCGGCGAGACTCTCAAAAAAGAAAAAAAATAAAAAAAATAAAAAAAAAAAAAAAATAAAAACGCACGTTTTACCGAGCCTTCATAGACCATAATTTACATCGTAGTCGTAAGCCGACTTAGCGCGTTTAACTTTTCTCAGAATATACGTCCATGGTTCGTACTCTTCATCGAAAACAATGTTTGCCGATTTGTTCTTCCAAGATCTAAGATTTTCCTCGTAACTCAAAATCCGTCGACGAGAGAGCCTCAAGTTTTATTATTAGCGACAACAAATATCTCTTCCACGAAGAGGTGTGTACGGACGATCCGTAGAAACTCCGCGTAGCCAGATCTTTTTGAATTTCGATTAGTTTCCGCACGATAACGTTCGATGCGGACGATCGGTGTTACGCGAGCCGTAAGGATATTTCTACCTCGTTTGGAACATCGTGACTCACGTGCCCGAAGTCGCTTTTGTGTCAAGAAAGCAAGCATCCTCGTACGGAATACGAAGGAGAGAGACTTCTTTCGAGCGACTCGCGCCGAACGACGTCATCCTCGTACTTTCGAATGGTTTCAGGCAAAAACGATGACGATGACGACGACGACGACAACGACGACAACACGTTCCCCTTGGCAGCGTAACGTTTTCTTAACGGTTAACCGCTTGACGATCTCCTATCGTTCGTTTTTCTTTCACATGCTTACGCGTAACTATTAGTAAAACAAATGAGGAGTCTTCTTGTTAACGTTATCGCCGTTGAGCCGACGTGGAAAGTGCAACGAGCGAGCAACAACGTCGCGTTCCGCTCCGCTTCCGGTTTCCATTTCATTCATAATACATCCAACGGAACGCGTCCTATTATTCGTACGTCGACTTTGAGATATCTACTTGCACGGGAATCGTACTTTCGATCGTATATATTATTGAACGTTAACGCGCAGCAAAGATCACCGTGCACCCGGATATTAAATTATTTTCACTCGGCGAAGCAGGATACGGCCCTACGAACCGAGCTTACGAACTTTGTAACGTCGATCGAGCTCACTCGTTTAATACGAACTAGAAAGAGAGAGAGATATGCGGAAGCCGATTGTACGACATATTCTCTATCTCTCTCGACGATTGATTCTCTTTCGATCGAAAAGAATTTATTATTGCGACGCAACGAGTTCGAATTTCTTGGACAAAAAAATGCTTTCGATTCGCCTTTACATTTTTCCACAGAATTTTCTTCTTCGTCGTTTCGAGCGAGATATCGTGTCACATTCCATACGACTATCGTCATCTTACGGGAGTCGAGTATCGCCGACGTGACAGAAATTATATTTTCCGACGTCGTTTACGTACAGAACGAACGAATCGAGCTAGAAAGCGTCGACCGATCGAACTTACTCGAAGAAATTTATCTCTTATTACAAACGACAGCTTTGAAACTCGCATCGTCGCAATATTTTCTATCGCAAAGTAGAACGGGTTGCCATATAATAGGAAGTAAATCGTGTAAATTTATGATCTAAGCTTCGGGGTACGCTTTGCCTTTGGTCCGTCCTCGTTGTCGGAGAGAAGATAGCGGAAGAAGGAGGATGCATAAAACGTTCCAGGAGAAGGAAAGAACGACTTTGAGTAAGCAAGCACATCGGCCGTCATCGTCGAAACCCACACGCGTGCCCCGTCGGTCGGTCGGTCGCTCTCTCGAACTCGATGGAATCTAACGCCCTCGCATAGCTTGGATGCGAAACGAGCTTAATTTTGTTTTCCACGAAGGCATCGGCAGCACGATGTCTCGCAAATGTGTCTATCCCATAATAAACTCTTTCCTAATCCTATACGTTTATACCTCTCTCGATCGTTCGAATCTCATCTCGATCGAATTTCGACGGGTAAACTTCATTTCTTATTAAGACAAACGATCTATTCACGGTCGAAGGAGTTTGCCCGAACGTACAATGTCTCGTTGCGAGGTTGATGTTCGCGTTTCATCCTCGAGCACGTGCTAATTTTGTTAATTATACTAACGAACTCTACGGGCCTCTTGTTATCACGTGCGATTAACAATCCGCGATAATTACTACGCTACGCGGCACATCTAGGATCGGCGAGTTTTTGACTAGATAATTTAGTTCTAATAATATCGGTCTAGTGTACACGCAAGTTTTACAATTTAACTTTGAAAATTGTAAAGAGTCAAAAAATAACTTAATAATCGTATCTCTTTTATATCCAAGTTCGATTTATATCATCGTTCACTCCGATAGATAAAATGTTTCAGATTTCTACTAGCTTCCCGGAACGTTCCTCATCGCGTATGCTTCCTCATTTACGCTCATCAATCAATTTGCACACATTTCCGCGATTCACTCGGGGCCTCTCGCTATATCAGAGGAGAAGATTACGATTCGTAAAAATTGTAGAATCACACGTTCTGCCTTTGCGTTTATCGAGCTGTCGGCTGAACGCACAGCGATCGCTTTACACCGTTCGTCGAATATTTCGTAAGGAATTCTTGGCTAATCTCGTAAACGTGCGATTATTAGAGATTGATGTCGCGGACTTTGCCAGTAAAATAGTCGAGAGATAAAGGTGAATTTCTCGTTAGTAATCGTTATTCTTCTTTTTTTTTTTTTTTTTTTTTTTTTCTTTTTTTTTCGTTCTCTTCTATCGACCGATTAACAAGTAAGCGGGATTTGCGGCGTTGTGGGAGTCCTCGTTTCACGCTGGAACGAGCAATCGTCCTCGTTCGTTCGCGCGGATGCCAAACACGAACATAGAAATGCCCGGCAATTAGTGCAAAACTGGTTTTCTTCGAAGGGATCTCTCGCCCATAAGTCGACTCTGAGCAGCGAGAGTCACCGATCTTCTCTTACCGGCATCTCCCTCCCTTCCATCTTCATTAACTTCATTCTATGTTATTGGAACGCGCAACTATCCTATCCGATCCTAGATTTATCCGCTTTTTGCTCGGACGTTCCTCTCGAGCTTTCGAGTGAATTACTCGAACGTTTCTTCACCGTGGCATCGCCTTTCTTATCTCATTTTCTGTCCTTTACACGCTTTCCCTTCGTAATTTTATCTCTCGATATCACTCGAATGATATCGACGAAAATTAATTACCACTCTTCTCTATTGTAATCGTATTCCATATCGCGGAGGATGGTACGTTATATACGACTTCTTTCGTAATTTACGGATATCTAAATTATCCCTACGATCGGAAATGATTTTATATATATATATATATACATATATATATATATATATATATATATATATAAAATGATTACCAATTCGAGATTTTTATCGCGATCGTGTTTATATATCGCGTAAACTCAACGAGCGCCATTTCCATTTGTAAACGTTGCTCGATATGAGTCAGATTTCGTATCGAGTAATCGATTTATCGATACGTTCCGATTTTATATTATATCATTTTACAGATTATTACGAAAGATACGAATATCGTGGCGCACTTAAAATATTTTTAATGACAAATATTGCCTCGTCGGTAGAGACATTTCTCTTCTCGGGCGAGCGTGCCCCGCAGTCGCCTCTCGTCTTTCCACTCTCATTATCTCGGTTACGGAGCATTACCGACTGATTGAGAACAAGCTTCCATGTGATCAGGATATCCGATACTTCATTGAGATATCCGATCGTGAGCCTCTTTAAATGCGCACTTTCGTGCACACCGCACATATTTTTTTCCCTATCGTTATATTTCCTCAAGGATGAAACGTTTTATATAATGACAATCTATAAATTAAAATTCGATACTCCATGCGTATCGCGTTTACTTCGATCATACAATTTTATTTATTTCGTCCGTCTAGATTCGCAAGATGTCGACCTGGATGCAATTCTCGGTGAACTGTGCGCATTGGAGCGACGTTGCGACGGTGATATCGCGGCTACTCCGGCACAAGATTCTCAAAGACAAGGACGTCCCAATAACGGAAGGATCACCGCCACCGATAACACGGATATCGGCAAAAATGAAGGTGGTAAGGGGGATTATTTTTGACATTTGACATGTAAATTCGCATTGTCGCAAAGTTTAATGTTGCAATTAATGAATATTTCCCGTTCGTAAAGGCATTCGCACGGACAGTCCCGACAACGATAGCGCATTTTCGGACACGGTTTCGATGCTGTCCAGCGAGAGTTCAGCGAGCAGCAGCGGCTCGGGACACAAGCCACCTCAGAGCGCCATGCATACGGCTCCTCAACAACAGCCGCATCAACTTATGGGTTGGTATCAGGAGCGTTCTCGTATAAAGAAATAAAATGCGAAAAGACGATCTCACGTTGAAATAATATTTTTTCAGATGCCGCGAGCAGAGCGAAAGCCGAGAAGATACGGCTGGCGTTGGAAAAGATGAGAGAGGCAAGCGTTCAAAAGCTCTTTATTAAAGCTTTCACGTTGGATGGGAGCGGCAAAAGTCTCCTCGTAGACGAGGGAATGAGCGTGGCTCACGTATCGAGGCTTCTCGCGGACAAAAATCACGTGCCAATGGATCCAAAATGGGCCGTGGTCGAACACTTGCCGGATCTCTTTATGGGTAATTTATGAGTTAACGTTGCGACGAGTTTCCTTTTTTTTGGTTTTTTTTTCTTCCCCTCAACCTTTTTAAACTAACGACGAAATATTGTCGATCGCAGAAAGAGTATACGAGGATCACGAGCTATTGGTGGAAAATTTGTTACTATGGACGAGAGATTCGAAGAACAAGTTGTTATTCGTTGAGAGGCCGGACAAAACACAACTCTTCCTAACTCCTGAGAGATTCCTGTTAGGTCCCTCGGATAGGTGTAGCAACGAATACGACGATCATTCGCGTAATATATTATTGGAGGAATTTTTCTCAAGCAGTAACGTCGGCGTTCCCGAGGTAAGACGAGGGCATCGAACGAAAACGGTTCGTACTCCTTTTTATCGCATCTTGACTGAGAATTTTCTCGTTTCAGGTCGAAGGACCGTTGTACTTGAAGTCCGACAGTAAGAAGGGTTGGAAAAAGTATCATTTCATACTACGAGCATCTGGCCTTTATTACTGGCCCAAAGAGAAAGCTCGTACCGCCAGAGATCTCGTATGTTTAGCCACGTTCGACGTGAACCAAGTTTATTACGGTGTCGGCTGGAAGAAAAAGTACAAAGCACCGACAGATTTTTGTTTCGCCGTAAAGCATCCGAGATTACAGCAACCCAAATCGACGAAATACATAAAGTTTTTATGCGCGGAAGACAACGCGTCTTTGGAGCGATGGATGGTAGGCATTAGAGTGGCCAAATACGGTAGGCAGCTAATGGAGAATTACAGAACATTGGTGGACGAGCTCGCGCAGGAAGACCTCGATCTATTGGCGCACGCGAGATCGTGCTCGGTCAGCTCGATCGCCGTACCACCTAATCAAACTCAATATAATACGACCAACGACAATGCACGGCAATTCATCGAAAATGCAAGGCACGAGACCCAAGCGACGGCGAGGCAATACGATGGTCAACAACGGCAGAGTTACAATTCGGAACAGCGACAAAGTTATAACAACGATGGAAGGCTTAGCAGAGCCAGTAGTTCGAGTTCAAGCGGATGTTTGTCCGATGGAGCACCGAGTAGTTGCGAGGTACCAAATTGTTCTTTCTTTTCTATTACTTCTGCGAATATTCGTCTTCGAACGCAAGACCACGGATCACATATCCGTCTCTTTTTTTTTTAGGTGGCCTTCGAGTGTGGAGAATTTCCAACCGGAACGATAAAGCGAAAACCTTCCATGAACCCGAAACTTCCGCTAACTTCGATCACGAGGCAATTGAAGGAGGTGGGCGAGACAGTACGCGACGAGCCGGACTCTTGTCCGAGTCCAACCAGCTCCGGTTCGGGTACCTTAACCAGAAGACACAGCCGCAGAAGAAGCGGCACCGATTCGGACGGATCGGGTACCCTAAAAAGACATCACAGATCCGGCAACGCTACTCCGGTCAGTCCTGTACCACCTGGAACGCCGGTGAGAGAGAGAGCCAGTCCTATGGGATACGGGAGAACGGAGAGTCAAGAGTCCAAGACGCCGACCAGTCCTATACAACCGTGTATGGTGAGTGAAGAAACGAACGATCCGTCGTAACTGGGAGAGCCATCATATCATATGTGTGAGCATATCATTTGTCGTAGATGGATTCTATCACGTCGTTGCCACCTCCACCGTCGCCCTCGAGAGTCGCCGAAGAAGGGGAATCGGATAGCGAACCTTTACCACCGCCGCCACCAGAAATGTTCCGTTCGAATCTCTCCCTGGACTCGTTACCGCCACCGCCAGGGGTAGGCGAACTTCCAGTTTGTAACACGCCCGAGTTGACTGGCTCCTCATTGAGTCTCGCCTCCTTACCACCGCCGCCGAGTCCTCTGGTCGGTGAGACCGGCACGATACGCCGTGCGAGACCGGCGAAAACTTCGAGTCCGGCGAATTCTATGACACCCGAGAGCACGCCTACGCACGCCGCTTCCTCCAGGCCATCCAACAGCAATAATCAGACGTATACGAGCGCGACGAGTATCGCGACGCCAAATGCTTCTGCTCTTCAAAACAGTCAGAGTTACGGGAGCAGCAGCAACGCCGCGACGAACTCGTCGAATTCTCCACACAGTTCCTATCCTGGCTCGAGCGCCAGTACACCGACATACGCACCGAGTTCACCAAGTTTCACGTCCCCACCACCCTTCGTTCCACCCCCGGCTTATGGTTCTCAAGCGCAACACGTCGGCACGCAAAGCTTAACGAGACAAAATTCGAAAACCGAGTCGATCTACGGGAGTCATCAGAGTGGCCACAATACCGTACCCAATCCGATCAGGCCCAATCCGAACATGGACACGGTCAGAAGGAGTGCCATGAAGCAAGGTACGAGCCATTACGCCGCTCCGCCCTATCTCGCCGAATTGAAAGCCGCATCTAGCCCGCAACCACAGCGCCGAGTGACCATTCAAGAACCACCGACCTCACCCAAGTCGAAAGGCGGTACGGGCAAGAAGATAACGTTCAATTTACCGGCGCAACAAGAACCCGGTAGTCCGGCGTTGCCGCAAAGAAAGCCAATGCCACCGAGAAGATCCGACAGTACTAGATTGACTTCGCCGAAAAAACTAGCTGCCTCGGATCAGGCACCACCTGGTGACTTTTTGAAGGATCTACAACGCGTTATGAGAAAGAAATGGCAGGTCGCGCAAAAGTGTAAACTCGACTCGACCACGACGCCCCACGAGGTCTTAGGTTTTCGAGATCCGCCACCTGCCGTAGCCGATTACAGAGAGACCAATGTCTCCAATTGGGTACAGGAACATTACGGGGTGGACAATCTCTATGAAAACGTTTACACGACGGATCCACATGCACCGCTCGAATATGCCTCGAGTCCTGCTCGTCAGCCTACCGTCAGATTCGCCGACGAAAATCGTAGCATCAATATCGTCAACGTGATCGCCAGTAAAAGGAGACCACCTCCGCCACCGCCGAAAAGGGCGGAGACCACGCATTTGACCACGACCAGGGCGATGCACTGACAATAGCAGATAATACAACCTCATCCGGAGAGGCGATGGTATTGCTGCTTGTGCGGCTGGTGGAAGGACTGATAAAGGAGGATTTTTCACCCTTTTCTTCCATCCCTTTTGTGGTTCAGCGTTAGCTTCGACGTTGCTTCGCCTCGCTACCTGATTTCAAAACGAATCGAGAGAAAGAGAGAGAGAGAGAGAGAGAGAGAGAGCACTTTTCTTTTCTCCCTCTTTTACACTTTCTCTCTTTCTCTCTTGAAAAGATTAAGCTTCGCTTTATCGCTCCTCGTCGAATCTTTCTTACGATATCAATGACCGATAAAATTTACTTTATCCTATAAAACGAAATGGATTCAACGATAGGATACGAACGAGTCCCTTCGTTTGTTACGTCGATATCGTAAAGACGTTCGATGTCAGCGCGAATATCAGCGTCGGATAAAAACAAAGCTTTATCATTTGTCCTACCAATTTTTCTCCAAGCGCGCATTACTTTTGTATCCTTTGCAAATATGGGACGCTGCTTGACAAATGAACGTTTATCTTTGATCGTCTTGAAACGTTTCCTATTCGAGAAACGTCGTGATGGTTGTGTCCGATTGGAAACGTTGATCGCTGTCGAAAAATAATCTCGAAAGAGATGATATCGTGCTTCGAGTAGATGCCGTGCTTAATGCTCGATTTAAGGTCGCTACTCGACACGTAGAAAACACTGCCGCACTCGTTAACGATGTGATATAATATAAAGCTTAAGGTCCTGCCTGCTCGCTAAAAAGAAGAAGAGTACTTTCTTGTGTAACGGAGATAGGGGAAGGACGCGTTATTAGTCGAACGATCGTAAAGCGATCGAATGCTAATGCGTATCGTTTCGCTTGATAATTAAAAAAAAAAAAAGAGAAAAAAAGAAAAAAAAAAGAAAAAAAATAAAATATTAAGAGGAAGCGTCGTCGTACGGTGTTGATTATGCTCGCGCTTCCGACTGTTCGTTTTTGCATATGTTCTCTCGCGAATCGGAGGCGCTCTTCTTTCCTTTCCTTTCCTTTCTTTCTTTCTTTCTTTTTTCTTTCTCCCCCCACCCTCAATCCCATCCCACCCCCACTCCCACCTCTCCCAATAACCAAGGTGCTTTACAACGCAGTAAATAAAAGAAAAAGAAAAAAAATGGGTAACATCGATAGAAGAGTTAGCGCGCCGCTCATCGACGTTTGCGCTTTTAATAAAGGATCCTTATACATAGGTATACATGTATATAGAAACTAATACATATGTGTGTTTATATCGATATAATTGACAATGATGCTGTATGTGTAGGTATGCCGTATCCTTCGAAGTACGCTCTAATGACGTGGACACGATGAATTAGGAATAAAAAGAAAATAAACGATTTTTATTCGTTTCTCGAGAGACACGAGAATGTCGAATTCTCTTTACATATTCGTCTTCGAGGGAGGAGATGAGTTCCTTCGAGAGTTCGAAACTCGTGTACTCTTTTCATCGCGATTATACAAATACTATAAGTATACGTATGTATTTACAAACATGAGATCTCGTTTATGCCATTTTTTTCTTCGTTCGCTTTGTTTCATTCTTAATGATATACATAAAGACATGTATATGTATACATATTGAAGCTATGAAAGCAAGATGATCGTGTCCGCTTGCTCCTTCTTCTTCTTCTTCTTCTTCTTCTTCTTCTTCTTCTTCTTCTACTTCTTCTTCTTTTTTCGAAATGATAAAAAAATATCGCCGAGTATGGAAACGATATACGATTACGTGTGTGTATATATTTCCCAGCCATAGAAGACGAAGGAAATGGGAGATCAAGGTGGCAATTTAAACAAAGTACGAGCTACTCTATCGCGGAGAACGATGAAACTTCGATCGTCGTAACCCCGACGACACCTGCGTATAATATATACTATATATATATACCTGTATAACGTGCATCGTGCACTCCCTTTCTTTACGTCGTCCTTAGGAAGGATGAAACGAGCGACGAAAAATGGAAAAAAAAAATAAAAAAAAAAAAAAAATAAAAAAAAAGAAGAAAAAATATTTTATCGATTCGAGCAGGGACAAAGACGACGAAGATGGAAATCGAATCGCTTTGACGCGAGATGGATCGATGTTCGACTTTACTTGCGCGTAATCGTCAATGGAATTTTCAGCAATGATAAACGAACAAACACTCGTAACACTTGGACGTACGATGATCGTATACCGTAATAAGTCTGATATATACTTTTGTATCTCGATTTTTGGAAAACTTTAAGGGCCGACACCCCTCGTACTCTCTGCTCTCAGCCTAGTATCGCGATTTTCATCGACCGCGTAACCTTTGAAATTCATTCAAACGAGTCTACGAGACTCGAAATTCCTTTGGTACATATTATATACATCGCTATAACGCAGACTATCGTATATTGAACACTATAAAACAAAAAAAAAAAGAAGTAAATAAGAAAATAACAGAACCGACTTGTAACGAGCAGAAATGTCGATGTGTCGATTATAAGTGTGAAAATCCGCGTTTCGCGTCTTAACAATTAACGCGATCTAATCAAACTGAACCAATAATATAAAATAATTTTTGAGATTGATATATACCGATCTATGGGACTAAGCCGATTTAACGTCAGAACTTTTCATACGTGAATTTCTACGAAAATATCGTTCGTATGTCTCTCAGCTCATTCTAATCTCTTTCTCTATCTGTCCATCTATTTCTCTTTGTCACTGTTTATCTGTGTGCGCTAAAGCGATAATCCTTAAGAGCTAGCAATGTCGCAAGGAAGGAAGGAAGGATTTTTTTTTTCTTTTCTTTTTTTTTTCTTTTCTTTTCTTTTTCTTCTTTTTTATTTTATTCTTCTATGCTATAAGCTACGTACGAGATTTAAGGATGGGAAAAGCATTCTTTTAAAAGCGAAGAGTCATTGGCTTAGTGGTTTGAAGCCTTTAAATGTTTGCTCACCGTTCGTCGTTCGACGATCGTCTTGGTCGTACGTATGTACGTCGAACGTACGTACGTACGTACGTAACGTCGATGACAAATCGATTTGGTATGCGAAATCGCGATACGCGATGGAGATTGTAGACTTTGACTCGTATGCGTGTGTATGGCGCGAAAACTCGCCATTTTTCTTCTATTTCTTTTGGATCGATTGAGATAGAATAAAATTCTTGTCTCGGTAAAAGGGATCGATGTGTGTGTATATATATATATACACATATATATAAAGTAAGATCTAAGAAATTGATTAAAAAGAAAAAACAAAAAAAAGAGGGAGAGAAAAAATGTAATAGGTAGATAAATTTAGAAAAAAAATCGAAATTCGCTCTCGAAGAGCATTTAGCGTGAAAGAAAGAAAAAAAAAAAAAAAAAAAGAGAAAAAGAAAAATCTTAAAAGAATCGGCGAACGTGTAAGACCGTGCAAATTCCCGACGATCCATAGCTCTGTTAATTAATTACGATGAAGATTACACGAAATGAGGAAATTATTATTATTGCCAATGATAAGGATGACGATCGTAATACTTTTATCGTTATATCGTACCTTTTTCACTTATATTTCCTAAGTTGTACGTATGTTTCTGTAAATATTGTAACGAATGATAACTACGAAGAAAATTATTATCGAAGATATCGTGACTGATTTAATATAAAACGCAATTATTTATGGGGAGGATACAAGGAGAGAAATCACATTCTGTAGACGGATCTTTAGTCTTCTTTAAACTTTTACACTCTACAGATATAATTTTTTTTTTGTTTTCCTTTTTATCAAAGCCAAGATAAAATTAAATTCGTGCGAAGAAAGTGAAGAGCGAACGGAACTTTTCTATGAATTCGTCTATAGAATATCGTTGTTTTTTTCAGATCGGCTGGATTTGCCGATCCCTTTTTTTTTTTTTTTTTTTTTTATTATTATTATTATTATTATTTTTCGTTTACTACCTTTCATTTTATTCATAATTTTGATATAGCCTAGATTTAGATTCTTACGAGTTGTTTCTCACCGTGGAAGTGTGTTCGACCTTAATATCGTGACAATACCATTATTTTGAGACTCGTCGCCAGTTGGTTGGGTATTTTACCACATGGAAAAATGCGCAGCAGTTGAAATATTACAGGTATTATATTCATGTTTTTATGTAAATAAATTTTTGGTATATTTCAATGATCGGGTCTCGTCGTTTTTTTAATAGACAATTTCCTCTCTACTCCTTGGCTTCCCGTGACATTTTCTCATCTCCCATGGATCAATTTACGGATACAAGAATACGACCGAAGAGAAATCCTTTTAGAAATATTAAAAGGAACAAAAATTGTTTTATTTCAATATCGAAAATGATGATATTTTTATCGATGAATCTTTAACGAATCATTAATTATCATAGTTAATAAGCGATTTCTCTACGATGTCGTCGGCTTAACGGTAAGAGAAGAGATATATTCTAATGTTAGTTTCATGACTCGGGAGGATTGTCGTAAATATATGAAATTGCCGTGGACTCGTTTCGAGGGTAGACGTACAATTTTATAGGCCCTTTTTACGACTTATGGAAGCCGCGCGTTCTACTTTACGCTTACGTCATACGCGTCTCACAAAAGTTTACGAGCAGCACCATTGGAAATTCCCCTTCCGTATGTATATCGAGAAATACGAAAAAAAAGGGGGGAAAAAAAAAGAAAGAAAGAAAGAAAGAAAAGAGAGAAAAAAATACTTGTGAAATGGAATGGCTTTTTACTCCGCGGCATTTTAAGTTTATGAGAAACGCGTTAATTCAAAGTTACGAGATTCGAGCGCGTTTGTTCGCATACTTTGATCTCCGTGATGATCTCTGAGCCTAATATCGTAACGAAATTTAAATCTACAAATACGCGTTTGTTCTATAAGCCGTTTTTTCTCTATACGATTTTAATGAGACCCATCACCCGTATGTCGTTCTTAAAGCGACTTTAACCTTTACTTTAGAATTTTTGTTCTCGATACTTTTTTCTTTCGTCGAAAGGTCAGAATGTTTTTCAAGGGAATTAGCCGTCGTTGTCGTCGTCGTCGTCATCGGCAACCTCGTCATATTCGATCGACGAAACGAAGGAAGGAACGAAGAAAAGAGAAAGGAGCTGGAGCGCTTGAACGATCCGCTTTTCAAGAACGTGGACGTAAATCACGGTTTTATTACGGATAATTTTACGAGGAGTCGAGTACCGCTCTCGATCGGTTGGCTCTCCTTTCGCTCAGCGTTAGTCGAGTGGCGTCGGCTACCTTAAACTTGTAATCGCGCTCTTTGGACCGCGAAAGCAGCGGCGAAAGCAACGGCAACGATAATACGGGACAAGGAGTGAACCGGGCCGGTTGGAGCTGTGCGAGGTCATTAACGAATTAGCAAAACGAGGTAAGGTCAGGAAGGAAACGGTCGAAGGACGTATTAACGTATTCTCCTCTTTCTCTTGCTACGGAACGAAAAGCACGTCTCTTCGCTTTTCTTCGATTATGGAATTATCCTTTAATGAACTCCTCCTCCTCCTCCTCCTTCTCCTCCTTCTCCTTTCTCCTCCTTCTACGAAACGAACGCGCGTAACACGATTTTTAATCTTACACCGCGGGTCAAGCGAGGGGCTTTTGTCGGTACACCGACATTCCTCGTGACCGCAGGAATGTCGGTCAGTGTGCGAGACCGAAACGCGCCTACGGTGAACCGCTGGTGGTCCAACATTGAGCCCGTTTCACGAACCTGAAACGATATCTCCGCTCGTTCGTGGTACCTTTCCTCATCCTACTCGGTTCGAATCTGTGGTCGCGAGCCAAATCAGATTTCAACGTGTGGGTAAATAAATCTGACTTTGCATTTAACGAGAAAATCCTATTTTCCCTTTGCTCTTTATCAAGATCTTTCATCTTTAGAATTGTTTCAACCAACACGTGTCTATCCGGTTGTTCTTACGAAAAGTCTTACGACAAAAGCGAGGATGAAGTCAAAGAGATTTATGCGTCGTATAACTTTTTTCAAGTACCTTTCGAACGCGCATTCATTGTATTACGAGGGACTTTCTCGTTGAAGTAGCGATTTTACACAAGTTTCTAAGTTTTATCTGTATCGGTGCAGTCGACTTTTATGCAGGATTTTATGTATATCGGTTTTATATCGATCAGATTATTTTCCATTTTCATAGATACTCGAGAGAGGATCGTACGAGTTTACGGTTTTACAGTAAATGCCTCGTCTTCTTTCTTTTTTTCTTCTTCTTCTTCTTCTTCTTCTTCTTCTTCTTTTTTTCCGTTTTGCTTTTATCGAGGAAAAAGTTTCGATCGGATGACAGAATTATAATACTTCTTGGATCTCGGGAATCGTGCGTACGCGTTTGTTGCGCGACACTGGCGGCGACTGAACTCGAAGAAGACGACCCTTAAAGAGGAGGTATGGGATTAAGATAATAGTCTCGAGAGGGAAGAAACTTAGAAGGAGAAGGTAAAGGCAAAAACGAGCGATATGATGTGGGTCAAAGTCTTCGGGACTGGGTCGCAGGGCTCCTTTGCCCGAAGTCCCTCGCGAGCTTCCTCGAGAGATCGTCCTCCTCGACTCGAGGTCGAGAGGTCGAGACCGATTTCAATTTCACTTCCCGTTTTCAACGCTTCTATATCCATTGCTACCCAACTATATATCTATGGCTAAATAAATGTCAAACTTTATTATATACGTACAAATTTTCTACCAAAGCGGTATTTTTCTGTACGAAGAGTAAAAAAATTCTTTTGCCATGTAAAATCATTGAGCACTTTGACAGACGCAAAATGAAATCTCACAGTTTACGTGACAAATTCATTAACTAACGATAAGAGATGCGTGAAACGCGCTCGCGCGCCGAAAAAAAAAAGAGAAAGTAAAAAGTTTCTTGCTTGAGGAAAAAGAAGACGAATAGAGTCAGGGAAGAGAAAAATGGGATGGTTTTGGGCGATGACCGATGGACCGTGGGGTAGGTTCTCGTCTCCTCTTCATTTTTCTTCCTTGCCGCGCGGTCGCGACCATTCACCCAGCATCCCTCCGTTACACGCTTAATAAGATAACGCCATAAGGACGATAAAAGTCTTTTCGGCCGGTTTCCGTCATACCGACGACCGCATCTTAAGCCTCTACGCGAGTTAATAAAAAAGACCGTACTGAGAGAGAGAGAGAGAGAGAGAGAAAAAGAGTTTGCGTTAATATTTATGATCGGTAGTTTGCTTTCCATAATGAAAAATCTTTCCTTTCTTTCGCTTCTCTTTCTTCTTCCAAGAATTAACGTATATACGTATGTTCGTATAATTGAACGAAATAACAAAATATAATCAATCGAGATAACTTACGAAAGTTTTTTACGAATCGCGAGATTTCACTTTTCACTCGTTTCCTTTTGAAAACCGGCGTCCCTATCTCGCCACCTTTCTGTCGTATCATGCAGAGCTATAAATTAATACTAATCTCCGAGTCGCACCGTGCAAGAACCTACACGGCCAACCGGGGACTGAATTTATTGAGATTCGAGTAAGTTCGTACGTTCGTTATCGTCGGTGGCTCTTCCTTTTTCGGTTATACGATATTCCGTTTCTCCGTTGAACGTCTTTACGGTTTGTTTCAAACATTGTTACGCTCTGATCGAATAACTTTTGCAAATTCTCGATATCTCGATGGGGTTTTAGGGTGTGGCTGTTTTCGATCTCGAGCCTTTCCCTGTGTATTCTCACGATTATCGATCGATAAAAAAAATCTATCGCACTAACCTGGCACATATAAAAAGCAATTCTATCGAGTAAAAGAAAAGTTGTTCGTTGGAACGTTTCGGTCTATTTGAATATTAAAACCGATCAAATAAGAGAGTGACAACGAGTTTGAGAATATATAAATTTGTGGGGGTAGAAGTAACTAGGTTGAGCTTGAGAATGAGAACCGCTGCAGCGTGTCTAATGTAAGAGGAGGAGACCGGAGGTGAGAGTGAACGTGCGTAGCTGAAGGGGCAGCTCGGAAAGCCGGACTTCGAGGTCCTCCGCCTTCGACCCTCTTCTCTTCTCTCCCTCTCTTGCTCTCGACCGAGAGTCGACGCTCCGTCTCATTCTAGTCAATACTTCCTCTCCTTCTCGCTTACTCTTACCTCGTGCATCGAGCATCCCTTTCTCTCCTTGGCCGACGCGACCCCCTAGGAACAAGCAGGGGTGGCTTCGCGATGAGGCGGAGACGAAGGAGACGAAGGAGGTGGCCGGAGGTGGCCGAGGAGGGAGAAAAGGGTGGTTGGGTCTGAGCCTAGATCAATACTCGCATCTCCGACGGCTGGACCAGGCCGGACATTGCGTTCCGAAGCTCACCTTCTCACCGATATCAACCCTCCTCTCTCTTTCTCCCTCCCACCCCCACCACCTTACCACCACCTTTTCCTCCTCCTCCATCTCCGTCGAGTCTTTCTCTCTCTCCCTCTGTCTCTTTCTCTCTTCGTCTCCCTCTCTCTCTCTCACTCTCTCTTAGCCGGCCAACCCCTCTCGCAGTACTTCGCCTTTTGCATCCGTCTTTCCCGAAGGAAGCCAGTTTTAGGCTCTACCTTGCTCCTCGTGCCTTTTTTTTATTCGTCGATCTATCGATCCTATACTTTTTTTCTTTCCCTTATTTTTTCTTTCCCAACCACCAAGAAATTTTTCCGTCGTTCGAAGGATTCTTCGTTTCCAATGACTTATCATCTTTCGGATCAAATACGTGAGAAAAGAAGTTTTCATTCGTCGTCGACGATGACGTACGACGATGAATTTAACGCGACAACAAGGGCTATATAAACGACACCTAAAACAATTAAATTTTCCTGTTACTCTTTTACGAGCCATTCGACGATATAATGCCCCTTTACACGTGGAAAAGTCTACGTGGAAAATATCGTGAAATCCATTAAGTTAATTGGCCCTGGGGACGGACCTTCTGAAATTATAGCCAAATAGCGATTGCTTAAAATCGGTTCGTACTTTTTTGGATTAGTTCCTCATCCATCGACTTCTTTTAAAGTATCTAACTAAAAGTTTGCGGCTAATGAATTTGCACCAAATAATGCCTTTACTTCGACCTGCTTATTATTTCATTTTAATGAAAGAGAAACGATGTATAAAAAGTATAAGAAGAAAGAAAAAAAAAAGATCGTCGAAAGATCGGAGAACCACTGTGCGCCGGTCAATTTCCCTTAGTTTCGTTTTACGTTGGAAGGATGGACGGTTCGTCTCCACGAATACGCCTCTACATGCGCTCGTAAACGAGTACGTAGGAGGAAACGTGCCCGCGCACCCTGTATTTACAAATACACACGCGCAAATTCGCACACAAGCACGCAATCGCGTAGGAGCTCGGAGAAAATTCAAGCGGCCGGTCCATTTGCATGCTCGTCTTTTTCCAATCTCTCGAATGCTTTTCCCCTCCTTTCGATTCCCTACGCGCTTTACGTTCCCCGTGCCGAATACGCTGCGTCCATAAAATTCTTTTCCCTTTTATCTTCCCTTTTCCTTGCTTAGGAAGACCATCCGTAATGCCAACGTTGAAACGTTGTCTCTCGCCAACTGATAATTATCTCACTTTCATGAATACGTTTTACTCGCAAGATCGCGGCCAAATGTGAAAACTTATTTACAACTTTATATAACTTTGCGCAAGAGATTTTATCGATTCTTTTTCGTTTCCTTTTTCTTCTTCAAATCGATAAATGAAAATTCTTAAAATTGGTTCTGTCACGTTTCGATTACTTCGGATTACTTCACGACGCGCTCGGTCTTATCGATTCGACGATCGACTTTTGGCCCTCACCTACGTGCCCTCTCTTCTTTAATTAATTGAAATCCCTAGCGTCGCGCCTATTTCTCCTTCGCAAAGGCAAAAGCTCTTCGTCTCGGCACAACGAAGATGGCCGATGATTCCAAATTTTCTACCCCCTTAATTATAATTTCCAGTGGCAGCACGACCGCGGCTCACGTAGACAATACTCGTCGAGTGACTTTCCACGGAGTTACTTAAAGGGGAGGCGTCTCTCCATGTTTTTTGCCGACGCTTTGTTTTTCTTCGAGCTCTAATAGAGCCTCTTCCCCTTCTTCCTTTTCAGCGTTTCTTCTTTCTCCCTTCCTTCGGTGCGTTCCACGAGGCTGCCTCGTTCCGCCTTTCGAGTGGACCGCATTACCGAAAAGAGGTATTTTCTTTCGAAGCTTGTTCCTTCGTGAAAGAAAATGTCAGAAAAGCCAATGGTTCTTCTTCTATTCTTCAAACTATACTCCGTTTCGACTCGCATCGAAAAGATAATGGATTTATTTTTAAAAATAGTCAAATCGAGAATACTCGGAATCATAGTTATTTCGCACGTATTATTCATTGGTTTTGTAGGGAAAAGTAGAGGGTAATTTTGCGCACAAGAGAACGATATAAAATGTATTAAAGAACAAAGGAGAAGTCAACGTAGTGCCAGCGGTTCTACAGGCAATCGGTTCTAAGCGCGAAAAGCTACGGGGATTTTACGGAATGCTACGGCAGACAGATTACTACCGTTGATATTTGTATGCATAACGCAAACAACATAATTGCGAGCTCTTCGACCGCTACCAACTTTACTGGTAGCCCCGGTACACGCAATTACGATCTCTTACTCGTATCGAGTCGACGCGAAACGAGCCACCTCGGGAATTAGAAAATGTTATACGATTTCGAGTCGACATTCGCGTGACAAGGAAAGATCGAGAAAAGAAAAGAGCTCGTTTACTCGCGAGCCAGGAAGAACGTGCAAATTCTCTACGTGCAGACGGTGATAGATGGCGGTTAAATTTTTTTATGTAACGTC